CAGAGCCAAAACGTGAATTCAATTAATCAGAACTCGAAAAACAGACGTGTAACGTGACCACTTACAGCGAGGAGTCCAAAAGTGTGACCACTTTTAATTATTTCACATTATTTCGTGCGTGCAGACTATCCAATCAGAAGCCGAAGATAGCTATTCTCTGCTTCTGATTGGATAGGTTACGCGCATGAAAGAATGTGAATTAATTAAAAGTGGTCACTTTGGGCTTTTGGCTTCTTGCTGAAAATTATCTTGGAATAGAGGTCATTGGGCACAATGCGGGTTCAGTTCTGTAGCACGAAGCTGCTAGCTAGTTTATTAGCAGGATAAACCCCCCCCCCCCCCCCCCCCCCCCCAACATTGTCAGGAAAGTAACAATGTAAAGTAATCTAGAATAGCTAGTACATACATCGGTCAGAAGGTCGACAACTTCTTGCTGTGTCTTTTCAACCATGAGGTCAATAATTCGCAGTATCTCATGCTTGGCTCGGTTCAAAATTGATGTGCTCTGAGCTTCTGCATTCTGAGAGGGCTGGTGACGAACGTGACTGTACACCGCAATGGCTGCTGGGGAGGGTTGGTTGAAGGAAATGGACGAAGCCGCTGCAACACTGCGGGCTACCTCGGTGTGTTCAATTTTAAAAACAAATTATAATTTATATGTATCCTTGACAAGTGCACTGGACATTTTTAATTGTGTGAACGAAAGGAACGTTTTGTGGAAATTGGCGAACAACAAGGAAACTTGCCAAGGAAAAACTTATTTTGTCGTACACACGAGCAAATAAAACTTGTAACGTTTGAATGGAGAGGACCACACAACGTAGAAATAAATCGCTTGGCTACTGTTTAATTAAAGTGTGTTGCCGGATCTCTTGTACGTGCCAATAACCCTGGCCTTTTGCCGTATATGTAGTAGTAGTAGTGCGAGCCCGAGCCTTGCAATCAGTAATTACCGGTACACAGCCCAAACGCAGTTCTTATTCTCAGTCAAACCAATATTTCTGCACAAATCAAAGGAAACTACGTTCAGTTAGAGGCTCCTTTAGAATTGTGATCTACCGAGCTTAAAATGTCAGTACCATCTTTCTTTATTACCACATATGGTTTACCTCCTTCGCGATAGTCGCTATGAACACTGCGGGTCGTGCTGTAGCTATAAGCGAGAGCGCATGCCTCGCAGATCTATGAGTATCCGCTGACGGAGACAATGGTAAACCTTTCCTGAACGTGAGATCACGATTCTTGCTGTCTGCGGATAGCTCTAACAGCGCTATCAGGACCGCTGACACGTCCATATAAGGCTCCCAAAGCGTGAATCCTCGACCAATCAAATCAATGGCAGCCCTTCTGACAGACGTGTGCGCAGTGAGTTGGGACGAGGGAGGTTTGAGTAAGAGATACATCAGAGCCTTGCCAGTGAGACGGACTGTAGTGTAATCCATAATTACTTCACCGCCTGAAAAAAAAACATGACATGCAGCACAGAAAATACTGAGGCTAAATCAACTTTAATTTTCTTCATTGTCCTCTTTCTTCACATTAATCAGTATAAGGCGGCAGCTTGTGCTTTTGCGTATAGCGAGTTCACAGCGACTGCACAGTCAACATTAGTAAATTAATAGCACAGCAATGAACTGTAACAGCAGAGTAAGGTGACTACTTTGCATGAGAGTTGCTTTTGTTTTAGTTTTGTGCTTGCTCTAAAGTTTTGGAGTAGGGTTGTTATATTCATTTGACATTTTTAACATTGTATTATTATTTATATTTCTTTTAAATTGTTTTTCAGGTCTTGCGGGCGCAATTTTATTAGTTTTTATTACTGTCACATGTCACTCTCATAAAATGATGTCTTCACTTACTTATTTACTTATATATATGCAATTCCGAAACCATTTTCTGACATTTCTGCTCATTAAATATGGCTATGCGCTGGGTTCGAGTTCGTTTCGTAGTAGGGTGAATTTATAGGAAATCGCCGTCAAGATCCAGAATTTAGTTCGAGTTATTGGGGTGAAATTACTGTTCTAGAGTAAAGCAAATCCAAGGAAACAACCTTAAGTTCGATTTACTTAGTACTGGAGTTATTAGTAAAAGTTCGAGTTATTGGGGTGAAATTACTGTTCTAGAGTAAAGCAAATCCAAGGGAAACAAACTTTAGTTTGATTTACCTAAAGTTCGAGTTATCGGGGTGAAATTACTGTTCTAGAGTAAAGCAAATCCAAGGGAAACAGCCTTTAGCTCGATTTACCCACTGGCGTAAAGTTCGAGTTATTGAGGGTTCGAGTTATCGGGATTCTACTAACTGTCGTGGAAAATTAAAACTATACTATATGAAAGCTATTAGAAATAATCCTTCCATGCATTAGTCATGATTAGCCAGCACGGAGCAGTTTTCAGAAAGGGTGCATTAACTTTATGTTATCGATAATTACATTATGTAAGCAGAGAGTTAAAAATCAGCACTTACGTCCACTGTCACCTTTACGCACGCTTTTACCATCTTTACATGTACCTGGAGTTTCACTCAGTTTATCCAAGCGTCGAGAACTTGTACTCTGTTTTTTTTCTCACCGTCCCGTTCACGACTCGAGTATACTTCAATTTCCCGCTGAAACTCCGCTCCTATCACACCCATCAGCACGATGGCCGTTGCTTGGCGACGGCGCATGTCATATTGAAGCAGCTTCTTGGACGCTGGTCAAAACAGTGCTGACGTCATCGGGTGGGAATAGGACTTCGTCATCAACACTTTGGACTTCGCCACTGCGCTCTAAAGAAAGATATGTTATCCTCATAAGTGAGTTTAACTGCTCTTTTGTTATAACGAATTTATACTAGACGAGCAGTCCCTCTTTTCCTTAGTTCATCGAGTGAGAAGCGAAAATAAACAGCGAGGAAAAAATGGCCGCGAGGAAAAAATGTATTGTTCCCAGTTTTCACGCGGCCATGTTTCCAAATAAGGGAAAGAAGGACTACTTGTAGTTTGAATGTATTATAGTTTAGTAAAAATATACTAATATACTAATATACTAATGCAAATGCGGCTATCTAATTGGCTCAGCTGCGGCTTCATCAACTATCACATCATAGAAATTGAGAGCGAATAATCTAAGGTCCCGTTCAGACGCCATACAGTACTTCACATGAGCCGAAACGAATTAGATGAATTAAGTTCATGTGAAGTACGTGAATCAATATAGGAACGGCTGATTGAATTCGGATCGGCTCAGCTGGCTCAGCCGGAAGATCCCCCACCCGCCGCCCGTCACTCGGCAACTACCGGTTAACTGACCGAAGAGAGTGATTGCATTCCTTATAAATATCACAGAGGCTGTCATGTTTTGCAAACTACTTGTATTCTCGAAAGATTATTTAATAGTTTTATGTTTCACCGCTGACCCGAATGGGTGGCCGCTTAATAGGGGTTCGACTGTAGTTAAACAGATTCTCCCAACTAGTACTATTAGCAATGTATAGATACCAGTAAGGAGAGTTTGTATCTCGGTATAAGCGTTAAATATTCTGCTGGTAAAATCAAGAGCTTTGAAATATCAAACTGTTTTCTGTGCACAAACTGAGCAGAGCTACGGATCCTGAGTCAGTTGAGGCATTGTACTTACCAAACCCCAAAAGAGGGGTGGGAGGGGTGGGTGCTGCTTCGGGTTTGTCAGATTTGTCCTCAGTCCCTGCCGGCTGTTCAAGCGTCTTTGGTAACTGAGGGGCCCATGTATCCACTACTTGGCTTACGACCTTCGAACTCAATCCTCCGCAGTTCAGCTAAAAGGATGGCCTGGGCAGCTTCACGAACCTAGCAATGGAGACATTGAACAATTGATATCGGTTTTGCAAAATGGCGCGAACTGAGAAATCCACCCGTCAATCAACGAGTCGGCTTTTTCGGCTGCTGTCAATCATAGTAACGATAGCAGTCCACTGAAAACTGACAGGTTTGACGAGCGTGCTCGATGACGTCACACGGACAATTGTGAATGTCGTTCTATCACAGCAGCCACTGAACGAACGGCGCGTGAGTAATATTACCAAAAAACAAACAAGCGCTACATACCTCAAGGCATCGATCTTGCCATCTCCTTGCCAGGATATGCAACAGAGGCGGCTTGTAAGAAGAAATCTTTAGAATATCAGCTAAGAGACAGCAGTGCAATGCAGCCAGCTGACTCCACCCAGCTTTTATGTGCGCGCGGTGATTCATGGCAAGTTTGCACGTCCACCTCACTCAACCCAGGGGGTTGCTCACCGCTTCCATCGTAACTCGACGAGCTGGACGGGATATCGCGAGCCGTGTTCGTTAAAAGAGCAAGACGTTTTTCTCGAGGAACAAAACTAATCTGATTCATGCTCATGAGTGTGTTAGCCACTGATACAAGCCCAACAAGGTGTAGAGTTGTCAAGCTGACGAGAGCTGCCACCGCGACTGAAAACAAGTCCTTAATGCTGAAACAACAGTGTGCTCCGAGGACGTCACCGGTTTCACTTCGCTCTCTCCTTTCTGTACTTCTTCAAGTTCCATAAACATGGCTTTATTGCCAGAGAGTTTTTTCAACGCGGATTCAGCATCAATATTCCTCTCTCCCCTTATTTCCCCATACCACCCTGGTAACATCAACGAAAGCCTGTTTCCACGAGTAAGCAATCCAAACGAAACCGGTTTGACCGGTTTAAGAAGGCCCAGTCTTTCGACGCAGACCTCGTCCATGTTAGGGTCCAGATCCCAGGAGTGAAGACACGAGATTCATAAGCTGTGCTACGTAATGCGTTTCATTTACAAAAGACGTCTTTTTATGTTCTGCGGATGATTTCTGAGGTGCATCGCTTCTAGTTGATTGAGTTGTTTGGAGTTTCATGTTTTTCTCCGTTTTGCTCCTACAGCTGTCTTGGAAATGTCAGCTTTACCGGAAGTTTTACCTGTGGAAAATAGCCAGGTTTTCAGTCAGGAGAGCAAGTAGTGTATTTTTTCTTAAGTCCTCGTAAAAGCAGGAGGCGCGGTGGCCTAATGGTAAGGGCGTTGGACTCTGGATGAAGCGGTCTGGGTCTGAGCCCTGGTTGGGGTCGTTATTAAGGGTCATTGTGTGGTGTTCTTGCGCAAGATAGGTAACTCTCACAGTACCTCTCTCCATCCAGGTGGATTAATGGGTACTAGCGAATTGTCAGGGCAACCTGACAAAAATGCCGGGGGTTATTATTATTACCTGCGAAGGACTAGCATCCCATCCAGGGGAGTAGCAATACTCCTAATTGCTTCATGTTATGGAAACCGGAGTTACGCGCCGGCCTGCACAGACTATAGATAGTGTCCGATTCGTATTAGCCAATCAGAGAATTACACGTGCATTCGCTGTTTGGTAATTTTCCTGCAGACTTTAACAGGGTTTTATAGAAAAAATGTATATTGAATACTTACAAACGTAACTGCGCACTTTCTAGCACAGCAACAGCCCATAAATTTGATCAGTAAAATAATTTGCTCCATATCTTCCCAATTCATAAACTTTCTAGAAATTATTTCACATCGAATTGCGGTTTTATCCCATAAAACACGCGGCATGTTTGCACCCACGGCAACATGGCGGTGGGGGGGACCTTTGAATAGGTTATAAAAGAACTAAAAGAACACAAAGCAAGGGACTGACAAAGAACTGAATGGAAATATCAATAGTTACCAACAAGTAGAGGGTTTTTCTTCGGTTAATAAGTTGCATATCAGCGCCTCGATATCAAACATAATCACTTGTATTTCTGGATCTCTCACGCCACACTTGGTGGACATGACCTTGAGCGGACCACCGGATAACACCTCACCATAACCCTCTGCACCTGCACCTGCAAGATACAATGTACATAGTAACGAGTGAATACTGTGAGGCAGGCAGCAATGATGGAAGCTTCAAGCTTATCTGTTTTCCTTGTGGATTGAACGGAAGCAAGGTTAGAAGTATTTCACGGGTTGATACATCGAGTGAAAACCTACAATTATGATTCAAGTAAATTGAGCTTGATCTAGGCCACACAGCGGTCATATGCGTACCGAGCGTGCGTAGTTTCCTACCAAAACGGCCAAATGCAAAATTTGTCTCAAATTTATGAATTTCTCTACTTTCAAGTCAGTAATTGAGGCATTTACTGAAAAATTAAGCTTGGAACACCGAATGAGCATAGAGAACTAATTTAAAAATTCTTACAAACTTCAAAGCAATGGAAATTCGAAGTCACAGTGGCGTTGAGCTTTGCGTTTGACCGGTCTTTGACCGTTGTGTTTGATGTAGGCTCAGTTGTTTTTCCGCTGTTCTCTAGTGTACAATCTTTCAGCGCGGGCTCATATCATAGAACGTAATTTTTTTCAAGAAATACCTAGACTACGAACGCTGGCGTATTCCCGGCCCGAAAAACAACATCCGGGACCGTCTGCGTTAGCAGGCTAAGGAATATCAATATTTGTTTTTGCAAAATTCGCGAGTCATATGCACCTCGCATTTTCAAGGTTGTGCACATCAATTTGTATCCATTTCCATTTCCATCTTCACCATCGTTAGCCATCCTCACTTCCTAATGGTTCTAACTGTAGCTAAGATTTCGGGCTTCTTGAAATCCTGTAAAAAATCGCTTACTGTCTTGTTCTCACTAAACCGAGCATCCAAACCGTTCTGTTCTACTTACCAGATAGTCTTGGCGAGGATGAAGGACTTTGCGAGGCTTGTTGGTTGGAGCTCTTCCTGAGTTTCTTGACTGCAGCCGAAGCAGCACTAGTCGGCAGGGTGGATGTAATGTGGCTGATCTTCCGTCCAAGAGAGCTCTTAGCCTTGGAAGGAACGCTGGCTGTGCTGGATTTCTTCTCTTCATCGCACGCGGCTAAGATGTTCAGAGCAACTTGTCCACTCACACACCGATCTAGATGACCTGTAGGATGATGTCAACATACAGATTCTCCTTATTGGTCTCCACTTGTTTCTTATAACGCTAGTTGGGAGAAATTAATTGTATAACAAGCTAATTTCCCAGGTGATCAGTTCTTTATTCTCTGGACAACAATATGGATGACGCTCGCTGTTAAAGGAGCTTAAGGTCATGCTCTCTTTGATGATTCTCGTCTATGTTGTTTAATTATGAGCTCCAAACTTGAAGATGGCAATGAAAGGTTCATTTTACTGATCAAACCTCAGCTAAATTAGTAAATTTGTTTTTGTTCCTTATGTACTAAAACTTGCTTTCTGTCGGACTAACAGAATCAACTTAAGCTCATTGCAATCCGTTATTATATATCTTGTCCAGTTCTGACAGTCTTTCCATACTCATTTGTGGCTTCCTGGTATTTCATTTGTGTTTTCAACAGTCCTTGAACAGTTATTGTGAGGTTTTTATACGATTTCTTTCTCAAAAAATAAATTTCCAATCTAAGGAATGCGAATTGGAGTCTGCAGTCTCGAAACAATCCCGATTGCTACGGACGCGACACTGCGTTAACCATTTTATAGTGACCCCCAGCATTTTGTAAGGTTGCCCCCATTTATACTTTGGGTATAGGGAGGCAATGCGAGGGTAAAGCCTCCTGCCCAAGAACACAACACAATGACCCCGGTCAGCGCTCGAACCCAGACCACTCGATCTGGAGTAAGTTGTTGTAACTGAATTGGAATGATTGGAATTCGGCCAATATAAAGTCATGGATTATGGATCCCCCCCCCCCCCCCCCCCCCCCCCTATAAGCCTGTAAGCCATACCTGTTTCCATCTGCCATACATACACCGAACCGTCAGTACAGCCTACGACCAAAAAGTCATCCAGCGCTCGCCATTTTATCGTCTCCACCGGAAATGCGTGAAGAGAAGCCAACATAATGCACTTCCGCTCGCGCAGTCCCAACAATGCAACCGAGTGGTCCTGGGCTACAGAGCAGATACAGGATTGGACGCGATTCTAAAAGGAAACAAAGAAGCAGACATTTTGATGGAAAATTCAATGTTAGCTAAACAGCTTTTATGAAATAAACAAGATACTGCGCGCGCTCTAATTGGCTCACCATTACTAAGGTAACTATGGAAACATAGAAAAATTGCTTCGTGCTTTTATTTCATGAAAACAATAGAAAACGTTTTCCCTGTGTTTCCAAAGAGTCATGGTAACACTCGTGAAAGTTTGGGAGAACTCGAAATTGCTGTGGAAACACTCGCCTGCGGCTCGTGTTTTCAAAGCACATTTTCTCGTTCTCACAAACTTTCACTCGTGTTACCATAACTCTATGGAAACACGGAAAACGTTTTCTATTTGGTATTTATAAAACATGTTTACTGCGCCTTTCAAAAACACTCTGGAGTTCAAAACCCAACTAACGATCGCGTTTTCACTGCCGTCAATCATAATTACGGAGACAACCAACGGACCCTGAATGAAAAAATAAAAAGAACAAAAATCTACCAATCACAACCCACGGAAGCCGTGACCTTTGAACCCGTTGAAGTGAACGTCTGCTTCCTGAGAGGTCTTCTAAGACGATTGATGTCAGTGAAAACCGAAAACCATTGATTGAACAACAGAGCCTGTATGTTATTTAAAGGCGCAGTAAGTTTTGGAGCTGTGCAGAACTCTTACACTGCAATCAGGTGGCGTACAAGTAAGACGAAGCAATTCTCCTCCGTGAGTAGAAAACGTGTACAGCAAGTCTCCAGTAAAGATGTCCCACAGTTTAACAGAGAAGTCAGCTCCACCTGATACCAAAAACTCCCTGTCATAGCGAGGGTACTCATCGTGAGGGTACAGCAAACAGGTCACTCGGCCTTTGTGTCCTAAGAGCACCCTGTGAGCTGGCCATCCTGAGAAATAACGACCCAAACAAATATATGACATAGAGTGGTTTTCTATCGAGTGTCGTACCAATGCAATGACAATAGCCAATCACAACAAACTTAACCAACAGAATGATTTTGACCCAATGAGAACTTGAAGCAAATACACGTAACCTGCGCCAAGCGCGGGAAAACGCGTGCGACCAAGTCACGATTGGTTTTGGTTTTGCATCTGATTGGTTGAGTAGGTGGCGCGAGTTTTTTAAAGCCAATCACAGAGCGACTAGTAAAGCAAAGCAAAGTGAAGTCTATGCAGTCTACCTGAGCCTGGGAGCTGAAGTAACTGAGCGATGACCGCCTTGGCCGCTGATATAATAACAATCGAACCATCTTCCCGGCCACACACGATACAGTCTTGAGCAGGTAAATACAGCGAGGCGCTTACAGGAATGGCTTGTCCACAATCATCCTAAGGATTAAAACACAAGATTACCCTACACTGCAATCAATTAGAGTCCCTTTGGAGCGATTTTCATTTAAGGGGGAGGGGGCTGGGGAGAAAGTCTACATGAGGCGTGAACCACAACGGAAAGGGCGGGAACCGGAGTACGGGAAGGGATAAGTTCAGACCCCCCCCCCTCCTCCCATCTCACACACCCAGCGCGGAAAAGCGCGCGACGATTGGTTCTGGTTTTGCAGGAGGCGGCACAGATTTTTGAAATCTGGAAAATGTTTGGCACTCATGATCAATTGTTCGAACAAATGTGTAGAGACGTAACTGAAACGAACGGATATTTTGGGAAACGATTATTTTTGAAAACAGAATCTTCATTGGTTTGTTTTCATGTCATGTTACTTACACGTAGAGGGTCCCTCGCTAGTTTTTTTTCCGGCCATTTCTACCTCCCCCTAAGCCATTCCTCTCCCTTCCGCGTAGTATATAGCTTAGCGATTCAGAATTTATGCTTCAACGCTCCACTACATCGATCATGACAGAACTTACTAAAGAGTCAATCAGTCCACAGGGCGTCGATGTTGTGTCCCAACAGTCTGCGTAACTACACGATACTAGAGGACCAACACCTAAAACGCACACACAAAAAACAGCGATTAAAAAGAAAACATTTTAAACGACTCTAACATCACCTTCAGCTTCAGCAAAATCGCGATTCTATACGACCGTAAAAGCTCTATTAAACCCCGGGGGGGGGGGGGGGCTTATTTAATTTCAGGCCTCAAGAAGGGGGGGGGGGGGGCTTAATAGAGAGGGGGGGC